CCCCCTCGCCCGCCTTCCTTCCCCTGCCCCTCCTCCCCCTCCGGTCGCCGCCGCCTTCCTTCCTCCTTGGCTTCCTCCGTCCTTCTCCTTCCTTTTCCTCTCCCTCTCCCCCTCCCGCCGTCCCCCTCACTTCCCTTCCTCCCCCTTCCTTCTCTCCTTCCTCTCCTCCTCGCCGCCCTGCCTCCTTCCTCCCTTCTTCCCTCCTGCTCCCTCCTTCTCCCTCGTTCCTCCCTCTTCCTCGCCCGCTCCCTCCCCCTTCCGCTTCTTTTCCCTCTCCTCCCCCCCTCCTCCGTCCCCTCCCCGTTCCCCGCTCCCCGCCTTCCTTCTCTGCCCCCTCCTTCCCTGTTCCCCCTTCCCTCGCCCCTCGCTGGCCTTCTCCCCCTTCTCCTCTTCCTCCGCTTCCGCGTCGCCTTTTTCTTGTCGCCTTTTCCCCTGCCGCTCTTCCTTTCTTCCTCCCCCGCCTCCTCCGTTTCCTCCGCCCTCTCCTTTCCCCTTACTCCCGGTTCCCCTCCCGTCTCTCGTCCGTCTGCCCCTCCCTACTTCCTCCCTCCTCCTCCCCTCTCTCCTCCTCCCCTCCCCTTCCTCTCCCTCCCCCCTTTCCCCTCCCCCTTTTTCCGTTCCTCTCCCCCCTTCCCCCCCGCTTCCCTCCTTCTCCTCCCTCCCTTCCCTCCTCCTTCTTCTTTTTCTCCTTCCCCTTCCTCTCCCCTTTTCCAACCTTTTCCCTCCTCCCCTTTTACTTTCCCTCCTCCTCCTTCCCCTCTCTGCCCTCTCCACCCTCCCCTCCCCTTCTTTTTCCTCTCCTTCTCCCCTCTCCTTCCCTCCCCTCTGCCCCTCCTCCTTCCTTCCCTCTCCCTTCTCCCTCCCCTGCCTCCCTTTCCCCCCTCCTTCCCTTTCCCCCCCTCCCCCTTCCTCCCTGCCTCCTCCCCTCCCTTCTTTCTTGCCCTCTCCTCCTCCTCTTTTCCTCCTGTTTGCTCCTTTTCCCTTTTCCTTTCCCTTCCTTCCTCCCCTTTTCCTCCTCTTCCCCTTCCCTCCCTTCCTCCCTTCCCTTCCCTACCCTTCCTCCCCTCCCCCTCATTCCTCTCCTCTCCCCCCCTCCTTCCTTCCTCCATGCTCCTCCCCGCTTTCCGTTTCCCCTCCTCCTCCCCTCTTCCTTTCCCTTTCCTTTCCCTCCCCTCTCTTCTTTCCCTTTCCTCCTCCCTCCCTTCCTTCCGCTCTCTCTCCCCTCCTCTCTCCTCCGGCTTCCCCTCTTCCTTTCTCCTTCTCTCCCCTCTCCTCCTTCCTCCTGCCCTCCTCCTTTTCTCCTCCCCTCTTTCCCTTTTCCTCCCTTCCCCCTCCCTCCTCTTTCCCTTGCCTCCTCTCCTCCCTCCCTTCCCCTCCCTTCCTCCCCTCCTCCCCTTTTCCCTCTCCCTTCCTCTCACTCCTCCCCCTTCTCTCCTCCTTTTCCTCCTCCTCCCTCCTCCGTTCCTCCCCCTCTCCCCCCCTTTTCTCCTCCCTTCCCCTTCTCCCCTTCCTCCTCCCCTCTCGTCCCCTTTCCTTCGCCCTCCTTCCCTCCCCTCTTCCCTTCCTCCCTCTCCTGCCCCGCCTCCGCCTTTTCCCTTTTCTCTCCGTTCCGTCCTTCCCTCCTTTCTCCCCGCTTCCCCTCCCCTCCTCCTCCTCCTCCTCCCCTCCTCCTTGCCCCCCGTCCCTTGGTTTTCCCTCTCCGTCCCGTGCCATCCTTCTCCCTCCCTCTCCTCCCCTCCCCCGTTTCCTTTCTTTCCTCCTCCTCTTCCCGCCCCTCCCTCCTCCTCCCCCTCCCTTCCTACCTCCCCGCCCTGCCCCTCTGCCTCTCCCCGCCCGCCCTCCCCTCTCCCTCTCCCCTCTTCCTTTCTCCCTTTTCTTCCTACCCTCTCCTCCTCCCCTCCCCTCCTCCCTCCCCCCTTTGCTCCCCTCCTCCCCCTCCCGCCCCCCTCCCCCCCCGCCTTCCCTCCCACTCCGCTCCTTCTCCCTCCCCTTTCCTCTTTCCTCCACTCGTCGCCTCCGCTCCCCCCTTCCGCTGGTTCCTCCCCTTCTTCCTCCCTCCCCTCTCCGTCTCGCGCCCCCTCCCCGCGTCCTCGCCTCCGTCCTTTTTCCCCTCGCCTTTTTTTCCTTCCCTTCTTCCCCCGCCTTCTCCTCCCCTCCCCTTTGCCCTCCCTCTTTCCCCCCCCTCCCTTCCCCCCTTGCCTTCCTCTCCCTCCTCCGCCCTTTGCCGTTCCCTCTCCCTCCCCCCTGCCGGGTTCCCCTCTTCCCGCCTCTTGTCCCGCCGCCTCCCCCCCTCCGCGTGGCGCTCTCCTGCCTCCCCTGCCCCCCCTCCCTCCCCTCCTGTCGGCCTCTTGCCGTCCCCTCCGGTGCCCCCCCTCCTCCCCTGTCCCCCCCCTTCCCTCCAGCCTCGGCCGCGGCCGCTCCTGCTCCCTCTCCCCTGTCCCTCCCGCCCCTCCTCCTGTTTTTCTTGCCCCCCTTTCCCCTGCCGTCCTCCCTGCCCCTGCCTCTCTCACCTCCTCCTCTCCCTCCCCTCCTTTTTCCTCCCTACCTTTCTTCCCCTCCGTCTCCTCTCCTTTCTCCCCCTCCCGCTCTTTTCCCCGCTTCCTCGTCCTCCCCCTCCTCTTCCGCTCTCCGCTCGCCCGGTGCCCTGTCCCCCCCCCCCCTCTCTCCCTCCTTCTCCTCCGCTCCGGGCCCTCCTCCGCCGGTTCCCTCGCCCGCTCCCCGGCCCGCCCGCTCCCCCCGCCCCTGCCTCCGCCGCCCCTCCCGTCCCCCCTCCCCCTCCCTCCCCCTGCTGCCTCCCCGCCTCTCCGCCGCCGTCCCCGCCTCCTCCTCCCTCTCGCCCTCTTCCCCCCTCCCCGCCGTCTCCGTCCCTCTCCCCCCCTCCCTGCCGGCCTCCGCTTGTCCGCCCCTTCCCCTCCTCCTTCCTTCGCCTGCTCTTGTTCCCCCTCTTTCCTCCTTCCTCCCCCTCCTTCCCCTCCTTTGTTACCCTCCACTTGTCTCTCTGCCCTGCCCGTTCCTCCCCTCCCCGTCCCTCTCCCCTCCCCCTTTTCCTCTGCTCCCGGGCGGGGGTTCTCCTCCCCCGCCCCCCTTCCCGCGGGCCTGCCGCTCACTCCCTCCGCGTCTCCTCGCCCCCTCCCTTTCGCTCTCCTCCTCCCGCCCCTCCGCTCTCCTTTCGCGTTGCCCCCTCCTCCCGGCCTTGTCCACTTGTTCCCTTTCCTCCTTTCTACCGTGCTTCCGCCCGTTGCCTCCCCCTCGCTCCCCTTTCTCCCCCCTCCCCCTCCTCTTCCCCTCTCTCCCTCCCTCCTCCCCCCTCTCCCCTCCTTCACCTTCTCCTCAGTTCTCCTCTCCCCTCTTCCGCGTTTCCCCCTGGCATTCCCCTCCTTCCCCCTCCTTCCTTGTTCCCTCCCCGCCCCTTCCCTTCCCTCTCCTCTCCTCCTCCTCTCCCTCCTCCTTTCCCTCCCCCTCCCTCCCCCTTCCGCCTTCTCCTGCCCTCTCCCTCCCCCCCTTCCTCCGCCCTCCCTCCCTCCCCCCTGCCGCCCTTTCGCTCCCTCTTCCTTCCTTGTCCCCTTCCCCTCCCCTCCCTCCTCGCCCCTCCCCTTTTTCCTTCCCCCTCTCCTCTCCCTCCTCCTCCCTCCTTCCGTTTCCCTTCCCGTTCTTTACCCTTCCTTCCTTTTCCCTTCCCCTCCCTCTCCTCCCCCCTCCCCCCTCTCCCGTCTCCTTCCCCCGCTCTGTCCTCCCCCTTTCCTCCCTCTCCCTCCCCTCCCCTTTTCTCCTCCTCTTTTTTTTCTCTTTTTCCTTCCTCCTTCGCTCTCCCCTCTCTCCCCCGCCTTCCCCTCCCCCCTTCCCCTTTCCCCCCTTCCGCCTTCCTCCCTTCCTCCCGCTCCCCTTCTCTCCTCCCCTCTCCCCTTCCTCCTCCCTTCCTCCTCCCTCCCCCTCCCCCCCTCCCCCCTCCTCCTTCCCTTCCCTCCTCTCTCCTCCCTCCCTTCCTCCTCCCTTCCTCCACCTCCCCCTCCCCTTCTTCCCTCCCTCTCCCCTCCTTCTCCCTCCCTCCCCTCTTCTCCTTCCTCCTCCCCTCTTTCCCCCCTCCCCTTCTTCTCCTTCCTTCCGTCCTTCTTCGCCTCCTTCTCCTTCCTCCCCTTCCTCCCCCCCTTCCTCCCCTCCCTTTCCTCCTTTCTCCCTCCTCCTCCTCCTCCTCCTTCCCTCTTCCTCTCTCCCCTTCCCTTCCCCCTCCCCCTCCCTCCTTCCTCTCCCCTTCCTCCTCCTCCTTCCCCGCCTTCTCCCTTCCCCCTTCCCGTCCCTTCCTTCCTCCGGCTCCCCTCCTTCCCCCCGCCTCGTTCCCCCCCCTTCCTTCTCCCTTTCCTTCTCCCTCCCCTGTTCCGTCCTGGCCCTCCCTCTTTTCCGCCTCTCCTTCCGCCCTTTCCCCTTCTGTTCGCCCCCTCCCCTTCGGTTTCCTCCCCGCCTTCCTCCTCCCTCTCCCCTTCCTCCCTTTCCTCCCCCTCCCTGCCCTCCTCCCTCCCCCCCTTTTTCCTCCTCCCTTCCTTTTCTCCTCCTTTCTTTTCCTTTCCTCCCGCTTCCCGTCCCCTCTCCCCTCCTCTCTCCGCCCTCCCTCTCTCCCCCCTCCCTCCCTTCCCTTCCCGTCTCCTCTTCTCTTCTCTCCCTCCTCTTTCCTTCCTTTCCTCTTCGCGCCTCTCCTTCTTCCCCTCCTTTTCCCTTCTCCCTTTTTCCCCTTCCTTCCCTCCCTCCCTTCCTACCTCTCCCTCCCCCTCTCCTCCCCCTCCTCCCCTCTCTCCTTCTCTCCCCTCCTCCTCCCCCTCTCTCCCCTCTCTCCCGCTTTTCCTCTCCCACTCCTCTTTCCCTCCCTTCCCTTCCGTCCTCTCCTCCTCCCCTTCCCCTTCCGTTTCCCCTCTCCTCCTCTCCGCCTCCCGCTTTCCCCTTTGCTGCTTTTCCTTCCTCCTCCCCCCCCTCCCCCTTTTTTCTCCTCCCCTTTCCCCTCCTCCCCCCGCCCTTTTTTCTCCTCCTCCCCCCCCTTCCCCCTCCCTCTCCTCCCCTTTCTCCCTTCTTCCCTCCCCCCCTTTCTTTCCTCTCCTCCCCGCTCCTCTCCTCCTTCTTTCCCCCCTCTCCCCCTTCTCCTCTCCCCCCCCTCTTCCCCTCGCTCCTCCCGTCCCCTCCGCCCTTCCTCTCCCCCTCCACCCCTTTCCCCCTCTACCCCTCCTCTCTCCCCCTTCCCCCCCCTTCCCCTCTTCTCTCCTTCTTCCTCTTTCCTCCTTCCCCCCCCTCCCCCCTCCTCTCCTTCCCCCCTCCTCCGTTCCGCCCTTCCCTTCCGCTTCCCCCGTCCCTTCCCTCCTTTCTTCCCCCTACTCCTCCTCTCCTTTTCTTCCCTCCCTCCCCCTCCCCTCCGCTCCGCCCTCCCCGCTCCTTCCTTCTTCCCCCCGCCTCCCTCTCCTCCCTCCCTTTTCTCTCCTCCCCTTCGCCTCCCTTCCTCCCTCTTCCTTCCCTCCGCTTTTCCTCCTCTTCCCCTTCTCCCCCCCCTTTCCTCCTCCCTCCTCTTTTCCCCTCCTTCCTCCTCCTTCCCCTCCCTTTCTCCTTCCCCTCTTCTTCTCCTGTCCCCCCCTTCCCTTCTCCTTTTCTTCCTCCTTCCTTTCTTCCCCCTCCTTTTTGTCCTTCCTTGCTTCCTCCTCCTCCCTTCCCCTCCTTCTCTCCTTCTCCTCTCCCTCCCGCCCCTCCCTCTCTCCCCTCCTCCCTCCTTCCTTCGTCGTCCCCCTCCTTCCCCCCCTTTCTTGCTTTCCTCCCTTCTCCTACTCCTTCCTTCTCCCCTCCTTCCCTCCTCCCTTCCCCTCCCTCCTCCCTTACCTCCCCTCCTCCCCCCCCTCTTTTTTCCTCGCTTCCTCCCCTTTCCTTTCGTCTTCTCCTTCCTTTCTCCTTCTTTCTTGTTCTCTTTTTCTCTCTCCCCTTCCCCTCCTCTTCTTCCTCTCTCTCCCCCCTCCTTCCTTCTCCCTCCTCCCCTCCCTTCCCCTCTCCCTCTCCCTTTTTACCTTCCCTCCCTTTTTTTTTCCCCCTTTCTTCTCCTCTCCCCTCTTTCCCTCCTCTCTCCCCCCTCCTTCCTTCCCTTCCCTTCCTTCCTCCTTTCTTCCCCCCCCTTTTCGTCGCCTTTGCGCTGTCCTCCCCTCCCGTCCTCCCCTCCCTCCTCCTCCTTCTCCCTCCCCCTTCCATCTCCTTCCTTCCCCTCACCTGTCCCTCCTCCCTCTCCCCCTCCCTCCTTTCTTTTTTTCCTTGTCCCCTCCTCCTTCTCCTGGGCCCTCGCCCTCCGCCCTCCCTCCTCTCCCTGGCCTCGCCCTTTCTTGTCCTCCTCTGCCCTCCCCGTGCCTGCCCTCCTCCCTCCTTCCTTATGCCTCCGCTCCCTCTCTCCTCCCTCTTGCGCTTCCGTGTTCCTCGTGCCTCCCCTTTCCTCCCCGCCCGCGCCTCCCCCCTCCCCTCCTTCCTCCTTCTCCTTTCCTCCCTCCCGGCCTCACTCCTCCCCCTCCTTTTCCCCCTCCCCCTTCCCCCCTTCCTTCCCTTTTTCTCCTTCCCTCCCTGCTTCCGGCCGTCGGCCTGTTCCCCGCCCTTGCTCCCCTTCCTCCTCCTCCTTCCCCCTTCCTTTTCCCTCCTCCTTCCGCGCCCCTCCTTCCCGCCCTCCCCCTCCTCCGCCCTCTCTTCCCTTGGCGGGCCCTTCCTCCTTCCCGGTCCCTTTCCCCCTTTCCGCCTCGCCCTCCTCCCGCCTCCCTCGCCTCTTTCCCTTTTTCCGCTCCTTTCCTCCTGTCCTCTTTTCCTCTCCTCCTTCCTCCCTTCCCCTCCCTCTTTTCTTCCTCCCTCCCTCCTTCCCTTTCTCCTCCCTCCTTTTCCCCTTCCTCCCCCCTCCTTCTCCTTCCCCTCCCTCTCCTTCCTCCTTTCCCCCCTTTCTCCTACCTTTTTTCCTTCCCCCTCTCCTCCCCTCCCTCCTCCTCCTCTCCTATTTGTTTCCTTCCCCCTCCTCCCTCCCCTCCTTCTCCTCCCTGCCCCTCCGCCCTTTGCCTCCGTCCTTTCTCCTCCCTTCCTCTTTTCCCCCTTGCTCCTCCTCTCTCCTCCTTTTCTACTTCCCTTCCCTTCCTCCTCCTTTTCGCCCCTCCGCCTCTCCCTCCTTTTTCTTCTTTCCTACCTTCCTCTCTCTCCTCCCCTTTCCTCCCCCCCTTTCCTCCCCTTCCCTTTCCCCTTCTTGCCTTTCCCTTCCTACCCTTTCCTCCCCCCCCTTTCTCTCCCTGCCTCCCTTTCCCCTTTCCTCCCTCCCCTCCCCTCCCCTCCCCCCTCCCCCCTTCCTTTCCTCCTCCTTCTCCCCTTTTCTCCTGTTCTCCCTCCTTCCTCCTCCCCTCCGCCCCTCCTCCCTTCTCCCCCCCCGCCCCCCACTTGCCCCCCCGTCCCCCTCCCTCCTCCCCTCCTCTTCTCCTCTCCCCTTCCTCCTCCCTCCTCCTTCCTTCTCCCTCCTCCCGCTCCTTTCCTCCGCTTCCCGCACGGTGGGCCCTTCTCCCTCCTCCGCCTGCCCCTCTTGTTTCCCCCCCCTCCTCCTTCCTCCGCGCCTCCCTTCTCCGCCCTCCTCCCTCCTTCCTTCCCCATCCTTTCCTTCCTCCCCGTCTCTCCCTCCACCTCCGCATGCCTCCCCGCTGCCTCCCGCCCTCTCCCCCCCGCCGTCCCGCTCTCTCCCCCGCCCCCCTCCCCCCGGCCCTCCCGTCCCTTCCTCTCTCGCCTCCTGTCCTTCCCGGCCCCTTCCTCCGCCCCGCGCCCCTCCTCCCCCTGCCCCCCCCCTTTCCGGGCCTTCCGTGCCCGCGCCTCCCTGTTCCTCCTGTCTCGTTCCTTTCCTCCCGTCCTGTGTCCCCTTCCCTCCCGCCCGCCCGCGGCCTTCCTCCTCGCCTCCTCCTCCCCCCCCTGCCCTCCTCCTTCCTTCCCCTCCTTCTTTGTCTCCCCCCATTCCCCGCCTTCCCTCTCCCTCTCATCTTCCTCCTCCCTCCTTACACCCCCCTGCCCCACTCCCCCCCCCTCTTTCCTCCCTGCCTTCTTCTTTCTCTTCCTTCCTCCCGTCCCCTCCTCTCGACCCCCTTTTTCCGCCTCCTCCTCCTCTGCCGCTCCCGCGGCTTGCCCGCCTGCCCTTCCGCCCGTTCCTCCCTACCCCCTCGCCTTTCCCCGCCTGGCCTTCCCCGTTACCTTCCTCGTCCCCGCCTCCCTCCCTCCCTTTCCTCTTGCTCCTCCTTTCCTTCCTTCCTCCTCGTTCCCCCTTTTCTTCCTTCCCGCCGAGCTGCCCCCCTCCTCCCCTTGGTCCCTCCTGGTCCTTCTTTTCCTCTCCTCCTCCCTTCCTGTTTGTTCCCTCCTCCCGCCTTCCTTGCCTTCTCCTCCCTTCGCCCTTCCTCCCGGCCCCACCCCTCCGCCTCCTCCTACCCTCCCTACTCCTCCTCCGCCTCCGTTTTCCCCCTCTCCCTTCCTCCTTCCCCCCCTTCCTTTTCTTCCCTCCCTCCGCCCTATCCCCCCTTTCTCCTCCTCTCCTCCTTCATTCCCTCCCCTTTTCGTTCCTTACGTCCTCCCTCCTCCCCTCTGCCCTTTCTCCTTCTTCTCCTTCCCTCCCCTTCTCTTCCCCCTTCCTTGTGCCCCGGACCTCCTTCCTCCCTCCCGCTGGCCGCGCCCCCCCTTGTCCGCCCCTCTCCTCGCCTCCTCCGTTTCCTTCCCCTCCTCCTCCTCCGTTCCGCCCGCCTCCCCTCCTCGCCCGGCCTCGGCCGGCCGTCACCCCTGCCCGCCGCCCCCCTCCGCCGCCGCTCCGGCCCTTGCCCGTCCTCCCCTTCCGTTCCTTCCTTCTTTTTACCCCCCCTTTTCTTTTTCTCCCGTTCCTCTCACCCCCCGTCTCCCGCTCCCGCCTTCCCGCCGTCCTCCCGCCTCTCCCTTTTTCCTTCCTTCCTGCCCCCTTTGCTCTTTCCTTCTCCTCCCCGCTGTCCCCTCCTCCTCCTCTCCTCTTCCCTTCCCCTTTTTTTCTGTTTTCCTCCCTCTTTCTTTCTCCGTCCTCCTTCTCCTCCCTCCTGCCCCCTCCTCTCCTCTTCTCTCTCCTCCCCCCTCCTCTCCTCTCTTTCTTTTTTCCCCTCCTTCCTCCCCTCCTCCTCCCTCCCTCCTTCCACCCCTTCCTTCCTCCGTCTCCCTTCCTTTCCTTCCTTCCCTCGCCCTTCCCGCTCCGCCTCTTCCCCCTCCCCCCCCTCCCCCCGCCCCTCTCCCTCCGCTGCCCTTTCCTCTCCCCTCCCTCCCCTCCTTCTTTCCCCTTCCGTTCCTTCTTCTCCGTTTCCTCCCTCCCTCCTCCTCCCTCCTCCCCGCCCTTTCTCCCCTTCTCCTCCTCGCTCCCTCCCCTTTCCCCCCTCTTTTTCCTCCTCCTCCTTCTTCCTCCCCTCGTTCCTTTCCTTAGTCTCCCCTCCTCCCCTCCTTTCCTCGCATCTCTCTCCTTCCCCTTCCCTCTCGCCCCTCCTCTCCCCCTCTCCTCCCTTCCTTGCCCCGTTCCCTTCCTCCTCCTCTCCCTCCTCCCTCCCTTCCCCCCTCCCCTCCTCATCCCTTTCTTCTCCCTTTTTCCCGCTCCCCCCTTCCCGTCCCGTTTCCTCCTTCCCTTCTTCCTCCCTTTCTCCTTGCTCCTTCCCCTCCTTCCTCCTTTTCCCCTCTCTCTCTCCCCCTCCCCTCTCCCCCTCCTCCCCCCCTCCCTTCTTCCGTCTCTCCCTCCTCTCCTCTCCTTCCCTCCCTCCCTTCCCTGCCTCCTCCCTTCCCCCTTCTCCCCTTTCCTCTTCTTCTCCCCTTCCCCTTTCTCCTCCCTCCCTCCCCCTCCTCCTCGCTCCCTCCTCCCCTTCCTCTTCCTCTTGCCCCTCCTCCTTCCCTCCCTCCTTCTCGCCCCTCCTTTCTCCTTTCTCCTTTCTCCCCTCTTCCTCCTCCCTTCCCTCTTCACTGTTCCTTCTACCTGCTCCCTCTCTCCTCCCCTACCCTTCCGTCCCTTCCTCTTCTTTTTTCCCTCCCTCTCTCTCTCCCTCCTCTTCCTGCCTCCGCCCTCTCCTTTCCCTCCCTCCCCTCCTTCTCCCACTCCTTCCCTCCCCTCTCTCCTCCCTTTCCCTTCGCCTTCCTTTTCCTCCCCCCCCTCCCTCCTTCTCCCCTCTCCCCTCCTCCTCCTGCCCCTTCCTCCGCTTCCTCCCCTCTCGCCTTCCCCTTCCTCCCCTTCCTTTTTCCCTCTTCCTCCCCTCCTCCTTCTCCTTTCCTCCTCGCCTCCTTTCCTCCCTCTTTCTCCTCCCTTCTCCCTCCTGCCCCCTCCTCCCTCCCTCCTTCCCCTTTCACTCCTCCCCCTCCCCCCTCCCGTTTCCCCTCCTCCTCTCCCCTCCTCTCCTCCTTCCCTTCCCCTCCCTTTCCTCCTGCTCCCTCTCCTCTCCTCTTCCCTCCCCTCCTCCTTTTCCCTCCCTCCCTCCTTCCCCTTCCCTTTCCCTCTCACTTTCCTCTTCTCCCTTCTTTCCTTCCCCTTTTCCTCTCCTTCCTCCCCTTTTCTCCCCGCCCTTCCCTCCCTTTTTTCCTACCTTCTCCCTTCCTCCTCCGCCCTCCTTCTCCCTCTCGTTCGCCCCCCCTCCCGTCCCTCCCTCCCTCCCTTTTTTCCCTACCCCCCTTCTCCTCTCTCTTCCTTCCCCTTCCGTCTGCCTTCTCCGTCGCGTCCCTGCCGTTCCTCCCTCTCCTCCCTTCCCTTCCTCCCTCTTCCCTCTCCTCTCCTCCCTCCCGCCCCCTTTTCCCCCCCTGTTTCCTCTTCCCCGGCCCTTCTCGTTCCCCTTTCCTCCTCCTCTCCCTTTTCTCCCCTCCTCCTTCCTCCCTCTCCCTTCTCTTCTCGCTCTCTCCCTTCCTCCTTCCCCCTCGCTCCTCCTTCCCCCCTCCGTCCTCCCCCGTTTCCTTCCTCCCTTCTTTCCCTTTTCCCTCGGCCCCTTTCCCCTTCACCTCCTCCCTTCCTCCTCCTCCCTCCGTCCGCCCGCCCTTCACCTCCCCCGCTCCTCCCCCTTCTCCCCGCTGCCCCCCCTCCCCTCCCCTCTTTCCTTTCTCCTCTCCTCCCTTCCTTCTTTCCTCCCTTCACTCCTTTCCCTCCTCCTCCTTTTCTCCTCTCTTCCTCCTCCTCTTTTCCCTTCCCTCCTCCGTTTCCTCACTCTCCCTCCCCTCCTCCCCTTCCCCCTCCCCTCCTCCCTTCCTCCCCTTCCTCCCCCCCTCCCTTTCCTTTCCCTTTCTCTCTTTCTCCCTAGCCTTCTCCTCTCCTCCTCTCCCTGCCTTCCTTCTTTTCCCCTCCCTCCTCCCCTCCCTTTTCCTCCCCCTTCTTCCCCCCTCTTCTCCGCTCCTTCCTTCCTCCCCCCTTCCTTTCCCTACCTCCCTGCTCCCTCCTCCTCCCTATCCCCTCCTTCCCTTTCCCCTCTTTCCCTCCTTTTCTCTCCTCTCCCCTGCCCTTCTCCTCCTTCTCCCCTTCCCGCCTTCTCCTTTTTCCTCCCCCCCCTTCCCCTCCTGTCCTCCCCCCTCCTTCCCCTCGCCCTCACTCCCTTCCTTCCTCTTTCCTCCTCCTCTTTCCTCCCCTCTCCTCTCCCCTCCCTTCTCCCTCCCTCGCCTTTCCCCCCTCTTCCTCCCCCCCCTCTCCTCCCTTCCCCTCCTCGCCTCTTCTCCCCTTTCCTCTCGTTTCTTTTCCTCCCCTTCCCTCCCCCTCCCTCCCTCCCTCCTTCTTCCCCCCCTCCTCCCCCTCCCCCCTCCTCCCTCTCCCTCCCCGCCTCCCCTCCTCCCCTCTTCCCTCCCCCCTCCCTTCCCTCCCCTACCCCACGGCGCCCCCCCACCCTTCCTCTCTCCCCTTCCTCCTTTTTCTCCCCCCCTTCCTCTCCTCCCTCTCCTCCCCCTCTCCTCCGCCCCCCCTCTCCCCCCCTTCCCTCCCTCCCTCCTCCCTCCCTTCCCTTTCCCTACCCCCTCCCCCCTCCCCCCCGCTTGTTCCCCTCTCCTCCCCCCCTCCTCCCTCTCCCCCTCCCCCTTTCCTTCCCCCCCCTTACTCCCCTTCCTTTCTTCTCCCCTCCCCCCCCCCGCCTTTCCCTTGCCCTTTCCCCTCCCCGCACTCCCTCCCTCCTCCTGTTTTCCCCCTTCCCCTCCCCCTCCTCTCCCTCCTCTCCCCTTCCTCCCTTCCCCTTCCTCCCTCCCCCTTCCCCCCCCTCCCCCCCTCCCCGTCCGTCCCCCCTCCCCCCTCCCCTTCCCCTTCCCCCCCCTCTCCCCCTTCCCCCTCCCCCTTCCTCTCCTCTCCTCCCTTCCTCTTCCTCCTCCTCCCCCCCTTCCTTCCTCCTTTCCCTCTCCTCCGTTTCCTCCTCCCTTTCTCCGCCCCCTCCTCTCCCCCGCCTCGCCTTCCTCTCCTTCGCTCTCCCCTCCCCTTCCTCCTCCCCCTCCTCCCCCCGGCCTCCCTCTCCCTCCTCCCCCCCTTCCCTCCCTCCTTTCTCCCCCTCCTCCCCTCCCTCCCCTTCCTCCCGCCCGTCCCCTCCTCTCCTCTCCTCCTCTCCTTCGCCTTCCTCCCCCTTCCTTCCCCCCCCCCTCTCCTTTCTCCTCCCCTTTGCCACCCCCTCTCCTTTCCTTTCCTCCTCCCCTTCCCCACTCCCCTCCCCTCGCCTTCCCCCTCCTCCCCTTCCTCACCCCTCCCTTTCCTCTCTCTCTCCCCCTTCCCTCTCCCCCTTCCCTCCCCTCCCCCTCTTCCTCCTCTCTCCCTCCCTCTTCGCCCCTCCTCCCCTTCCCACCCCCCCTCCCTTCCGTCCTCTCCTTTCCCCTCTCCTTTCTCCTTCCCCCTCGCCGTCCCCACTCCTCCTCCTTACTTCTTCTCCCCCCTCCCTTCTCCTCCTTCCTCCTTTTTCCTCCCTTCCCCCTTTCTCTTTTCCCCCGCCCTTTTCCTCCCCTTCCCTGTCTCTTCCCTCTTCTTCCTTTTCTCCTTCCTTCCTTCCTTCTTCCCTTTCCCCTCCTCTTCCTCCCTCCCCTCCCTCCCTCCCTCGTACTTCCCCCTTTTCCTCCTCCTACCCTCTCGTCCCCTCCTCCCCTTCCTTTCCTTCCCCTTCCCTTCCCCCTCTCCCCTCCCTACCTCCTCTCCTCCTCCCCCTTCCTCCCTCCCCTCCCTTTCCCCTCCTGTTCTGATCCTCCTCTCTCCCTCCCCTTTTCCCCCTGTCTCCTCTTCCCCTCCTTCCTCCGTGCCTCCCTCCCTCTCCTCCTTCCCTCCTTCTCCCTGTTCCCGCTCTCCCTCTTCTCTCTCTTTTCCCCTCTCCTCTCCTTTTCCCTCCCCTCCTCTCCCCCCTTTCCTTTCCCCCTTCCTCCTCCCTCCTTCCTCTTCCTCTCCCCCCGTCCTTCTTCCTCCCCTTTTTCTCCTTTGGCCCTCTCCCCCCTCCCTTCCCTCCCTCTTCCCCTCCTTTCCCCTCCCTCCGGCTCTCCCCTTCCCTCCCTCTCCTCCTTCCCCCTCTCCTTTTTCTCCCTCCTTCATCCTCTCCTCCCGTACTCTTTCCCCTCCTCTCGCCTTTCCTTCCTTTCCTTCCTTTTCTGCCCCCTTCCCCTCTCCCCTGCTCACTCTCCCTCCCGTTTTCCCTTCCCCTCCCCTTTTTTCTCCCTTCCTCCCTCCCGCCTTCCTTCCCCGTTTTTCCGCCCTCTCCTTTCGCCCCTTCTCCTTCTCTCCTCCTTTTTGCCTCCCTCTCTCTTCCTCCTCTCCCCTTCCCTCCTCCCCCTCCCCGCCCTCCCTCTTTCTCCCCCCTTTGCCTTCCCTTCTCCTTCCTCGTTCCTCCTCCTTCCTTCCCCTCCTTTCCCTTCTCTCCCTCCCTTCCCCCTCTTTCCTCCTCCTTCTCCTCCTCCTCCCCTCCTTTCCTCCTCCTCTCCTTCCCTCTCCCTCCCTCGTCCCTTCCCTCCTCTCCCTTCCTCCCCTTTTCCCCCTCCGCTTCCTCCCCCCCTCCCTTCCACTTTCCTCCCTTCCCTCCCCCCCCCTTCTCCTCCCTCCTTCCTTCTGTCTCTCCTCTTCCCCTCTCCTCCCCTCCTCCCTCCCTCTCCTTCTCTCCTCTCCTTTCCCCTTCCTCCTCTTTCCCTCCGTCCTTCTTCCCCCCGTCCTCTCCTTCTTTCTCGCTCCTTCCTCTTCCCCTCCCTCTCTCCCTCTCTTCCTCCGCTGCCTCCCCTCTCCTTCCCCTCCTCCTCTCCTTTTTCCTCCCCCTCCCTTCTTCCCTTCCTTCCCTCTCTCCTCCTCCTCTTCCTTCTCCCCTTTCTCCTCTCCCTTTCCTGCCTCTTCCTTTTTTCCTTCCCCTCCTCTCCTCCCCCTCCTCCCCGCCTTCCCTCCCCCCTTCCCCTTTTGCTCTCCTCTCTCCCCCCCTTCCCCTCCCTTCCCTCCTCCTCCCCCTCCTCTCCTCCCTCCTTCGCCCTTCCCTTCCCTTTTTCCTTCCTTCTTCCCCTTTCTCCCCCCCTCCCCCTTCTCTCCTCTTCCCTCTTTCCTCCTTTCTCATTCTCTTCCCCGTCCTGCCTTCTCCTCCTTCCCTTCCGTCTCCTCCTCTCCTTCCTCCTTTTCTCCTCCGTTTTCCTTCCACCCTCCTCCCCCCCTTCTTCCCCTCCTCATTTCCCTTTCCTCCCTCCCTCTTCCTCCCCCTCTCCCCTCCTTTCCTCCTCTTCTCCTCTCCTTCCCTCCTTTGCTCCTTTCCCTGCCCTCCCTCCTCCCTCCCCCCACTTCCCCCCTGCCTTTCCTTCCTCCTCCTTCCTCCTTCTTCCTCCTCTTACCACTCCCCTCCTTCTCCTTTCCCCCTACCTTCTCTTTCCCCTCCTCCTCCGCTTTCCCTCCCCGTTTCCTCTTTCCCCTTCCCTTTGCCTCGCCCTTTCCTCTCCTCCTTCCTTTCTCCCTTCCTTTACTCCTTCTTTTTCCTTCCTTCCCTCGCACCGCCTCTCTCCCCTACTTTCCCCCCTTCTCCTCCTTCCTCCTCCCTCCCTTTTCTCCTCCTTCTCACTCTTTCCTTTTCCTCCTCCTCCTTCTCCCCTCCCTTTCTTCTCCTTCCCTCCCTCCTTCTTTTTCTTCCTTGCCTTTCTGTCCCCTTCCTTTCCCTCCCTTCACCTTTCTTTCCACTTCCTCGCCTCTCCCCCCCCTCCCCCTCCCCTTCCTTCCCTCCCCCCCCTTTTCCCTCCCCTTTCCCCCGCTTTCCCTCCCTTTCGCCTCCTTTTCCTCCCCGCCTCTGCCTTCTCCCTTTCCCTCGCCTCCCCTCCCTCCCTTTTTCTACCTCCCTCCCTGTTTCCCCTCCGCCCCTCCCCCTCCCTCCCCTTTCTCCCTCGCTTTCTCCTTCCTCCCCTTTTTCTAACCTCCTCTTCTGCCTTCCTCCTCCCTCACCCCCCTCCTCCTTCCTCTTTCCCCTTTCCCCTTCCCCCTCTTTCCTTCCTCCCTCCCTCGCCTTCCTCTCTCCCCTTCCTTCCTTCCCCTCCTCCTCTCCCCCTTCTTCCTCTTGCCTCCCCCCCTCTTCCTCCTTTTCCTCCTCCCTTCCTCTTCCTCCTCCCTTCCTCCCTCCTCCGCCTCTTCTCCCTCCCTTCCTTTCCCCCTCCTCCTCCCTCCTCTCCCCTCCCCCTCCCTCCCCCCCCTCCTCCTCCCTCCCCTCCTCCTTCCCGCTTTTTCCTCCCATTCTCACCCCTTTTCCCCCCTCCGCCCCGGCCCCCCCCCCCCCCTTCCCTCCACCCCCCTCTTCTTTTCCTCCCTTTTTCCCCTTCTTTCTCCTTCCTCCGTTCCCCCTCCTCCTTTTTCTCCCTCCTGTCCTCTCCTCTCTGTCCCTTCCCTTTCCTCCCCCCTTCCTCCTCCTCCTTCCTCCCCCTCCCCTCTCGTCCTCCCTCCTTTCGCCTCCTCCCTCCCCTCTCCTCTTTCCTCCCCTTCCCCTCCCGTCCCTCCGTTCCTTGCCCCTCTTCCTCCTTTCCCGTTCCTCTCTTTTCCCCCTTCCTCCCCGCCTTTCTTTTCTTCTCCCTCTCCCTTCCCTCCCCCCCCTCCCCTTTCCCTCCTCTTTCCCTCCTCCTCCTCCTTCTTTCTCCCCCTTCTTTCCCCTCCTTCCGCTCCTCTCCCTCCCCTCCTTCCCCTCCTCCTCCCCTTCCTTTTCTCGTCCCCCCTTTCTCTCCTCCTTCCTCTTCTTCCCCTCCCCCTTCCCCTTCCCTCCCCGTCTTCCCTTTTCCCTCCTCTCCTTCCTTCTCCCCCTTCCCTCCCCTCCCCCTCCCTCCCCCTCCTTTTTCCCTCTCCCCCTTTCCTCCCCCCCTCCCCTTTCCCTTCCCCTCCTCCTTCCCGTTCCCTCTTCCTTTTTCCTCCTCCTTTGCCTCCCTTCCTTCCTGTCCTTTCTTTCCTGCCTCCTTCCCTCCTTCCCCTCCTTCCTTTCCTCCCCTCCCTTCCTCCTCCTCCTTTCCTCTCCCCTTTTCTATTTTCCCTCTCCCCCCCCTTCCCTCCCTCTCCTACTCCTCCCTCTTTCTCTCTCCTCCCTCTCTTCCCTCCCCTCCCTTTCTCCGACTTTCTCTCCCTCCCTTCTCGCCCTCCTTCCTTTCCCCTCCTTCCTCCCCTCCCTGCCTTCTCCTTTTCCGTCTCTCCCTCCTCCCCTCCCTTCCTCCTCCTTCCACTCCTCCCTTCTGCTCCCCTGTCTCCTCCCTTCTTCTCCCTCCGTCCGCTCCCCTTTCCCCTCTCCTTCTCCTTCCCTGTCTTCCCCTCTCCATCCGCCTCCTTTCCTTCCTCCTTTCCCTTCTGTTTTCCTCTTCCTCCCTCCCGCTCTCTCTCCCCTCCTGCCTCCCTCTGCCTCCTCTCCCCCTTCCTTGTTTGCCTCCCCTTCCTCCTTCTCTCTTCCTTTCCTCCCCCTCCTCCCCCCCCTTTTCTGGTCTCCTTCCCTCCCCTTCCCCCCCTCTTCCCTTCTCCTTCTTCCTTCTCCCGCCTCTCCTTCCTTCCTTTCCCCTTCCTTTCACTCCCCCTTCCTCCTCCTTCCTCTCGCTTCCCCTTCTCCCCCCCCCCCCGCTGTTTCTTCCCCTCCCTTCTTCCCCTTCCTTTCCTCCCTCCTTCCCCCTCTCCCTCCTCTCCTCCCTCCCTCCTTTTCCCCTCTCCTCCTTCTTCCTTCTCCGTCCCCTTTTTTCTCCCTTCCTCCGCTCCCTTCGCCCCCCCTCCTGCCCCTTTCCCCTTCCACTTCCTCCTCCCCCTCTCTCCCTCCCGTTCGCTCCCCCCTTTCCCCTCCCCCCTCTTTCCCCTCCCCCGCTCCCTCCTTTCCCTCTTCTTCTCCTTCCTTTCCCTTTTCTCCTCTCTTCCTCCTTC